AATGTAACAAGGACACTGTAAAATAAAGTGTTACCAGGGATATTAAAAAAAAAAAGTAAACGTACTTAAACTGAAAGAGAAAATACACTTTTAGAACTGTTAACACACTTTATGTACACGTATATACTATACTTATATGCTTTAGTCTTTTCTTCCCTATTCGTATATCCGAGTGAAACGCTTCTGGAATAAGAACACATGGGCGGGGCTTGATGTTGTCCGTGGGGAATTGATTGCTATTGGCTGATCTCATGTGAGTCACAGGTTGCCCCGCCCACATCATCAGAGAAGAGAAGAGATAATGTGCACAGATAATTCATTTGTAATAAATAGTAAATACCGTAATTCCCCCAGGCAAACACAAACACAAACAGCACAAAGTTACTGTATTATAAAACACAAATCAGTGCTGTCATTTACAGGAATAGAGCGGTAACCATTTATACGGTGACCTCAACACAGATACATATGCCAAACATATGCCCTAAAACCATTTAGCCAACATTAAGTCATGAAAATGTTATTTCTGTATTTTCTCCAATAAATGTTTTTTTTTTTTTTTTTTGGGTTATACAAATGGTTTTTAATGTTCTCTGAAAGTTCAAGTAGAACATTTAAACAAAATGTAGAAGAACGTCCAAATACGTTTCAGAGAAAAGGTGCCATGATAGATCTATACATAATGTGTTTGTGCTAACGTTTTGAGAACTTAATTAAAGGGGTGATGAACTGAGAAATCAAATTTTCCTTGAGCTTTTGACATCTAAGAGGTCATCATATTATAAGAATATCTTGTAAGTTTCAGAACTGAAAACGTCCTTGTTAGTCCAATAAAAGCTTTTATTGACAGCAGGCTCAGCAAACGACTCGTTTTTCAAAGTGGGGAAAGTCTTCTTCACCGCCGCAGAAGAAGATCAACGCCTACTTTAGCCCCGCCCACCGATTCGCGCATTACATGCATAGCTAAATAACATAGATGCCTACCTCGTGATGACAACTCATTATAATATGCAAAACTGTTATCCACTCACAGCAGTGGGCGTTTACTTCCAAGTCTTCAGTGCGAGACGCCCATAAAAACCGAACGTTTTTAAAACTAGGGTAGAAAATAGACTATTACTTATTCATTTTAATGTTTTTAAATGTAAAAAACAAGCAAACGTCATAATTTCACCTCAGACAACAATATAAAAAAATTTAAAAGCAGTTCATGACCCCTTTAAGGACCAGAGATTGTTGAATCAATGTTGCTGGAATAGGTTTCCTCAGAAGAGCGTTCCTGTTAGCTGTGCATATATATATATACGGTAACTTAACTTGAACCCTGTTCAGAATGACTTCATTTCCGTCTAATCCGATCGCTGCAGAAGAACAGATGTTGTGCACTGAGAATCGCCGAGTAAAGGAGATTCAGAGAGAGACCTGAAGGCAGATCATAGTGTAATTTTCCATCTGCACATCAGGAATGTCCACCGCATGATCAGAGTGTGTTTGTCCAGGACACACACCGCCTGCTGAGTCGCAATACTGATACAGTGCACATGAACTTAAAGGAGGAGTTCACTTTTAAAACATTTTTTGCTGATAATTTACTCACCCCCCATGTCATCCAAGATGTCCATGTCTTTCTTTCTTCAGTCGAAAAGAAATTAAGGTTTTTGATGAAAACATTCCGGGATTTTTCTCCATATAATGGACTTCAACGGTTCAAGGTCTAAAAGACAGTTTCAGTGCAAACTGTTCAAACGATTCCAGACGATGAATAAGGGTCTTATCAAGCGAAACGATCGCTCATTTAATAAATAAATAACAAAGTTTAAGTTTTATAAGCTCAAATGCTCGCCTTGCTCTGATCTGTGATGCGCGTTCGTGACTCTCCTGTTCAAACTCGTTCATCAAAATGAACAAATCTTTTTTCGAGTCATTTGGTTCATTCAACGAACGAAACGAACGAATTGACTCTAAAAAAAGATTCCGATCGAAAAGATAAGACCCTTATTCATCGTCTGGAATCATTTAAAGCCCTTTGAACAGTTTGCACTGAAACTCTCATTTGGACCTTGAACCGTTTGGTTCCCATTGAAGTCCATTATACGGAGAAAATCCTGGAACGTTTTCATCAAAAACCTTAATTTCTATTCGAATGAAGAAAGAAAGACATGGACATCTTGGATGACATGGGGGTGAGTAAATTATCAGCAAAAGTTTTTTTTTTTTCAAAAGTGAACTACTCCTTTAAGAGTTTTAGTGAATCAATCAAAACTAACTTTAGCGGGAAAATAACTTTATTCTAGAGCTGTCATAAAGCCAAAACAATCTCTGTTACTGTAATTCCCTATTATCACTGTAAAGCAGCTTTGGAACAATCCACATTGTTAAAAGCGCTATATAAATGAGGATGACTTGCGTAAAAGCTCATTTATTAACGAAGGCTTTTAATTACCCGGGTTATTAATTCTTATGTGTGTGTGTTTCCTTGTATGTTTGTTTTATTATTATTAATGTAGAGCACTTTGAGCAAACATGGTTGTATTGAAAAGTGCTTTAAAACAACAACAAAAAAATGTTTTATCATCATGAGGAATCCAATCCATGACCTTGACCTCGTTAAAGTCCTGTACCGGCACTAAAACATCAGTAACACACTGTAACTTCTTCACGAGCCCGCCTGAAGTTTGATACGATACAACAGACAGTCAGTGATATTAAGAACATATGCTTCACTGCGATGGTGCTGACTTTATTGGTTATACTCCATATAACAATTTGATTTTAACTGGAAGCTGCAAAATATGCTCATCTTCATAATTCATGCTAGGAGTTTTATTAAAAGTGGCCTCTGTGTTTGTGCAAATTGAGTGTCTAAAGCAGAGGATGTCAGTGCCGTTTATAACAGGAGACTATACGACCATCATTACTCTACGAATGGTCTGAGAAAGAAAGAGAGCGTTTATTGTCTTCTTTGGGAATGTAATCTGTGATCATGTGTCTGCTTAATGTTTAAATGTGCGTCTAACTGGGAATCTAGCCTGACAAAGTAGTGTTGTTGTCCGATTGTGATCTGCAAGTCAGTGCAAAATCCCAGTCTGGAAATCTCTCGTCCCAGAACAACACTGCGCCCTGCTGGACGAAACACTTCACACGCCATTCATGAGGAAACAAGAGCTTGTGTTTAATGGTTAAACTCATTACAGTCAAGAATCGCTAACACTGCTTTCCGTAACACTTTACAATGATGTTCATTAGTTAACATGAATTTATCAACTTACATGATTTTGTTACTGTATTTATTCATCTTTAATGTTAGTTAATAAAATACTGTTTGTTCTGTATTAAATAATGTTAACAAAGCAACCTTTGATTTTAATAACGTATTAGTAAATGTTGTAATTAATATTAACTAAGATTAATAATCACGTTAACTAAGGTACCAGTATGTGTTACTCTAGTTGTCTATCACATGGAAACTCAGTCTAAAATTTCTTTGAAAATATTCAAGATTTACACAATTCCCTTTTCATGAAGATACTAAAAATCTGTGTTCTTCAATAAATATATGATTTATACTCAAAAAGTGACCAATCAATATTTTCTACACTTTATACACACAATATATCTGAAACGAAAACAAAGTAAAATGTTAATTGATAGAGCAACCTCTCTACTAGTCATTTATGATTTCATATTACACTCACTTGAACAGTTTCTAGCAGATTTACTCATGTAGGATAACTATAAAAATGTATATTTGCTACAAAATTTAAATGTTTAAAAATAATTTCACAGACTGTGCTCACAAAAATAAAAATTCTATTTCAATTAAAATTTTAGAAATATTAATTACATACTTAATTTCCAGGATGTTGTATATATTTCACTAAAATTCTCTTGTATGTTTTATATTTCAATTATACACACTTTAAAAATTTCCTGGTATTTCCAGCTTTTCCCTGATTGCAAATCTCATCAAATCTACATACATTCATTTCTAATTTAACACAGTCACATAACAGCAAACATAGGCTAAAATATAGACTACACAAAACTCAGACACACACACACATTTAAATTAAAAAACGAAAAATTAGTTCTACTTCGTATTTCAGCCACATCACGTCATGATCAACGAAGGCCTGGTGTGTGTTTCCCGTACAGCGGCGACCTAACCTAACCCTAACCCACACACTGATCATAGTACGGTGAGTCGTTGAAGAAATCAACTAGCTAGTCCAACACGATCTCACGGCAATTCGTACGCATTTTACGAGGTGGCTAATTCATACAAATGACCTACCCGTGACCCCGCCCCTAAACCTACCTGTGACCCCACCCCTAAATCTACCGGTGACCCTGCCTCTAAACCTACCGGTGACCCCGCCCGTAAACCTACCCATGACCCCTCCCCTAAACCGACTCGTGACCCCGCCCCTAAACCTACCTGTGACCCCGCCTGTAAACCTACCGGTGACCCCTCCCCTAAACCGACTCGTGACCCCGCCCCTAAACCTACCTGTGACCCCCCCCCTAAACATACCCGTGACCCCACCCCTAAACCTACCCCTGACCCCTCCCCTAAACCGACTCATGACCCCGCCCCTAAACCTACCCATCACTAATCGTACAAATTCGAAGGAATGACGTTGTATGAATTCGTAGGAATTAGCCACCTTTTAATCCCTCGTACAAATTCGTATGAATTGGTCCTGAGGTCGTGATTCCCTTGAGAAAAATTGCCATTTATTGTAACTGATATCCAAAATAATTGATATTGAATCGAATTGCAATCGAAATCGAATCGAATTGTGAAATTTGGTGAAAATTGTGAATGGTTTCGGGAAAACCGACTCGATGAACTATGATGATAACGACGGAACTAGCGACCATAGTTGGTTTAAAGGTGCAGTCTGTAAGATTGACATTTCTTTGAGATTTCGACTAGTGGTCGAAATTGGTACTGCAGTCCAAATTCAAAATATCGGAGATCATTTTTTCCCCGCCTCCTCAGACTCGTTGCCAGATTGAGAACACTCAACAGGAACGAGTGGAATTGACAATGAAAGCCGAGGAGACTTACACACTGTAAATTGATTTATCCGCGTTTTAATATGCTTTCGTTTATAGAGATGTTTAGATCCAGAGGTTTTTAAGGTTGCGTAGAGACTGCGATCTCTGACCCAGTTTATTTGCTGGCTCCAATACGCTGAGTTTCCCGCCAACTGGCAACCCAGGGTGTTGAAATACTATTGGCTGAGCTGGCAGTGGGCGGAGTCACACAGACCAAATTTAAAAACGACTGACATCACGAAACGTGTAAAATAACTGGCCGTAGAAGTGTTTTTCAGAGAAACGAGTCTGTGAACTCGGCATGTTTCCTAAATATCCTACAATATTGCTTTAGTCGAGTGAAAACGTCACATATTCAGCACCTTTAACGATGCTATGGGGAAACACAGCCCTGCTCTACTGATGACTGGCTGTGTTGGTGCTTCACATGGTGTTGTCGTAGGAGGGCGTGGAGTACTGCGGGGTCTGCGGGGTCTGAGGGCCCTGTAAGGACCCCAGGGCTGCCTGCGTCGCTGCCTGCTGAACGTGAGGGTTTTTCCAGGCGCCGGAGACCCACTCCTCCTGCGCTTTACTCATGCTCCCGCCACTGCCGCGGTAGAAGTTATGGACCTGCCGAACATGAGCAGCACAATCATGTTCAACAGTGTCAGTTGTAGAACAAAAAAATAAATAAATAAAAAGGTTACTGTGACTTTTTATCTCACATTTCATTTTTTTTTTTTTTTGATTTATAAACTTGCAATTGCGAGTGTGAGAATTTAGGGAAAAAAGTCAGAATTGTAAAAGGTTTTTAGGAAGAAAGTCAGAATTGAGGAAAAAATTGTCAGAATTATGAGATGTGCAAAACAAGGAGAAAAAAAAAGTCGTAATTAGTTTTTTTTATTTTTATTACGTGACAGAAACATGATGTGTAGTTCGATTATCACCAATTTTTCCTGGTTTCTGATTGGCTTTTCAGACACAAATCCAAAGGTAAATAACTGATTTACTCTGGCATCTAAATAACAACAACTACACACTCCAGCCTCACAACAGACACCCATCCATCCCAAGACTTCTACACACACATCACACAACAGCAGTGTTGGGTTAGTTACTCCAAAAAAGTAATTAATTACTAGTTGCTAATTACCTCTTCAGCAGTGTAATTAGATTACTCTAAAAAGTATTTAATTACTTTTAATTACTAATTACCTTCAAAATCCCATATCAATCTCAACCAGCTGAATAATACAAGGATACACATGAATCTGTTTTAATTCTTTCAAATAAATACAATAAAATTGCATGAATTATCCTTAAACTGACTAAATTGGAGAAGGTTACATTATGAAAACATCAGACAATACATTTTGATGTTAAACCCACTCTGATCTCATGACATTTCACACTTTTTTCATACATATTTTACAATGATTCATTCGAATTTGTACGAGTGCGGTCGTACGATTTAGACGCCTCATAAAATGCATACGAATCGCTGTGAGATCGGATTGATCTATACACAGTATTTACCTCAATTACATCAGAAGTAACTGTAATTAAATTACAGATACATGAAGAGTAATCTACGGTGGCGTATTGCATTCACTTGAAGAAAAAAAATCTACTCTGTTTTTCTGAATTAATGAGTTAATTTTTCATGAGAAAAAAAATGCTCTGTTTTTCTGAATTAATGAGTTAATTTTTCATGAGAAAAAAAGTTTTTGCTCTGTTTTTCTGAATTAACGAGTTAATTTTTCATGGAAATATTTTTTTACTGCGTTTTTCTAAATTAATGAGTTAATTTTTCATGAGAAAAAAAATATTTTGCTCTGTTTTTCTGTATTAATGAGTTAATTTTTCATGAGAAAAAAATATTTTGCTCTGTTTTTCTGAATTAACGAGTTAATTTTTCATGGATTTTTAATTTTTTTTGCTCTGTTTTTCTGAATTAACGAATTAATTTTTCATGAGAAAAAAAATTGCTCTGTTTTTCTGAATTAATGAGTTAATTTTCATGGAAATATTTTTTTGCTGCTGCGTTTTTCTGAATTAATGAGTTAATTTTTCATGAGAAAAAAAAATTCTCTGTTTTTCTGAATTAATGAGTTAATTTTTCATGAGAAAAAAGTTTTTGCTCTGTTTTTCTGAATTAACGAGTTAATTTTTCATGGAAATATTTTTTTTTTCTGCGTTTTTCTGAATTAATGAGTTAATTTTTCATGAGAAAAAAAGTTTTTGCTCTGTTTTTATGAATTAACGAGTTAATTTTTCATGGAAATATTTTTTTTGCTGCGTTTTTCTGAATTAATGAGTTAATTTTTCATGAGAAAAAAATATTTTGCTCTGTTTTTCTGAATTAACGAGTTAATTTTTCATAGATTTTTTTTTTGCTCTGTTTTTCTGAATTAACGAGTTAATTTTTCATTACAAGTTAATTCAGAAAAACAGATGAAAAATTAACTCGTTCATTCAGAAAAACAGAGCAAAAAAAATTTTTTCTCATGAAAAATTAACTCGTTAATTCAGAAAAACAGAGCAGATTTTTTTTTCTTCAAGTGAAAAATTAACTCGTTAATTCAGAAAAACAGAGTAGATTTTTTTTTCTTCAAGTGAATGCAATACGCCTCCGTAGTAATCCCTTACTTTACATTTTCAAGGGAAATGTAATTAAATTACAGTAACTAATTACTTTTACCCAACACTGCACAACAGACACCCATCCATCCAAGACTTCTACACACAGGTCAACTAAACGAGCTGATCCTGGCACACCGGCGAGTGCACAGGTGATGAGTCGAACACACACCCGTCCCGCTGAGATACGTGTGTGTGTGTGTGTACCTTAGTGAGCGCGATGAAGCAGAGCGCGGCGACCGCGGTGAACATGAGCGTGGGGATCAGCATGATGATGGAGGCGAAGATACTCGTACCAAAGAAGGAGATGGTGCCCAGCCAGCCACTGAACCAACACACACACACACACGTCACATACAGTAGAGGAATAGATGCTGTATTCTAGTGTGAGGTGTGTGTGTGTTAGCGTTCAGAATCCTCATATTTAAGAATAATATGCATAATATGTGGATGCATTTGTCTTACCAAACACCCCATCCGGGAATACCAATGGCCTGAATTATAGAGATGAAAAGTTGTGCCATGAAGACAAAGAAGAAAGCCATGAAGTAGAACGAGCTGTCCGTCCTGCAACACAACGACAACACAGATGCTCAAATACAGAACTACACTTATCTAAACATCAATGATACATGTGTGATGGATCAGGTGTTGATGTTATTACAGTTTTTTCCAATCGCTAACACACTAAAATGACATCACAGCACAATTATTTAAACGGACACACGGAGAGCAAAACTTCTTCTCAAGTTTACAAAAGTCTAAACACATTTTCTGCTTTACACACATTTTGCATTTCAAAATGCCACTTTTTAAATGCACTGATATGCACAGATCTCTGCATAAGACACGACAATCTGACATAAAGTCACATGTTTGCCATTTCAAAACACTACCGTTCAAAATGACACTAATTGGCCAATTACATCTGGCCAAACACCTCAATGGTTCATTGTTAACACTTCAGTCAGGATGTAAGCACTATAAAAACTATAAAACTATAAAAAAAAATATTTTTCTTGCCACAAATTTTCTGGAAGTTTCTTTTTCAGTTTCAGTCCCATGTAAATATTTCTGCTGTGCATATGTTGCACTGACTTGTGAAAAAATACATTACAGTAAAATGAAGTTTCAACAGCATGTGTGTGTCTGCACATATTTCTGTGCATGTGAACAATCTGATACATATTTTAGTACTATGGCAAAGCATACTAAAGATATTGCTTTTCATTATGCACAACAGTGTGTAGTTGTTTAGGCAAAAATCTGGTAATATGACTGAAGTGTGTGCCAGTTCATGCAAAAGTTTAATTTTGATAATGCTATGTATAGTTTCATTTTGCAGGATATATGAGGTGTTTTGCTGTTTGGGTGTGTGGTTTTGTGAATTGTGTTAAGTATTTTGATAAAACCAGACTAGTTTGCAAAAATGTGTGTTAGCAATTGGAAAAAAATGTAAATTAATGTTAATAAATAAATTAATATTAAATTAATATTTTATTAAATAAATAAAAAATGGATTCATTATGCTGTACATTTATAATATGATGATAATAACCATTATTATTAAACTGTTTAAATACAAATTAATATTCATAAATTGATAAATTATATATATATATATATATATAGGATAATAATAATATTTATTGTACATATGTTAATTTGGTGAGGAAGTAGACGCTCACTTGAAGGCGTTGTAAATGGCCCTGAACCAGCACACGTATGAGCAGGGCGTGAAGAGGACGACCCAGATGATGGACATGCCGAAGTTCGTCACTCCTCCTCCTCCGAACATCCACGCCATACAGCCGAAGAAGTTCACCAGCAGCGTGGAGCCGTACACTGAGGACACAGCAGATCGCTTATCTACTGATTGTACCCAACTCACCACGTTATATGCACAGGTGTGTGTGTGTGAGAGAGAGAGAAAGAGAGAGAGCGTGTGTGTGTTCCAGAAAGATATATATATATATATATATATATTAGGTCTGTGCAAAAATTAATTGCCATTAATCGCATCCAAAATAAAAGTCTGTGTTTACATAATATATTTGTGTGTGCTGTACATAATTATTTTGTATATATAAATACAAACACATGCATGTATATATTTAAGAAAATGTATTGTTCATATATAAAATATTTATATTTATATAATATAGATTATGTATTTATATATATATATATATACAGAATTTAAGCGCAAATAATTCTTAAATATATACATGCATGCATAGGTATTTATATAGACAAAATAATTACATACAGCACACACAAATATATTATGCAAACACAGACTTTTATTTTGGATGGGATTAATCGCAATTAACTTGTGCACAGCCCTAATATGTATCATATGTCAAAAAATACATGTGGGTGCTCTGTGTATAATTATTTTATATATAAAAATACACACACATGCTTGTATATATTTAAGAAATATTTTCATGTATATACTGTATATAGATTTATAAATAATTTATATTATATAAAAATATTTGATATATAAATCATATTTTTTCTTAAATATACATGCATATGTGTCTGTATTTATAAATATACAAAATAATTATACACAGAGCACCCACAATATTATGTAAACACAAACTTTTATTTTGGATGTTTTGATGCGTATATTGCTTATTGCAAATATATATATATAAAAAGAGTTCAGATGCAAAAGCCTCTAAATGCCATTTGAAATTTTCTTCTTTAATGATGATTTTTATCAAACTTGTATATTTAAGTTCAGTAATTTCACTTAAATGACAATTAATAGGTAATTATCATTGCCATTTAAGTGAAATCACTGAACTTAAATATACAAGCTTGATAAAAATGATCATTCTAGAAGAAAATTTCAAATGGCACTTAGAGGCTTTTGCATCTGAACTCTTCATATATATATATTCTGAAATCACACACTAGTGTCATAGTCTTTGTCTGCACCTGTCTGTCTTAGTCTTCACTACACTACCCAGAATCCTTCTTGTCTCCAGACCTGAACTCACTCCCTCAATTACCCACCTGTTCATCGTCATAATCATCTGTGTCACCTGTCCTCACCTCATCAGTGCTTGTATTTAAGTTCCCTCATTCAGTCCTGGTTGGTCTTTGTAAATGTTTGAGTGTGTTTGTCTCCTGCCTGTCTGTACCTGTGAGAACATATTTGGAGTAAACTGTTTGAATTGGAGCGTTTGCCTCGTCCGCCTTCTTCTACCCACACACACCCGTGACAACTAGGAGTAAAATAATATATATATATATATATATATATATATTCGATGATTCAACAGTCCTCCAGCAGTCACACACACACACACACACACCAAGAGTGTTTAAACAATTAACAAGTCAGTCGAGTGAGATGCTACTTTAGACATGTTCGTCTGAACACTTAACTCAACAGAGTATTTGTAAACTGAATATCATCTATATGTATGTGTGTGTGTGTGTACGGACTCACAGATCCACAGGTAGTAGAGTCTCTTGCACATGGTGCGGTGCTGGTCCGGAATATCCTCAAAGTCCTGATGGAAACACGGCCGTAGAGGAATGAAGCCGGGCAGAGGAGGGAAGTTGTTTTCTACAGGACAGACATAAAGCAGAGCATCCGTGTGTCGTACAGTAGTGCATCTCTGACTTATTAATCTAACCAGTTACATGGGTCAAGGTCCTACCAGCCATTGGGGAACAGCCGACGACTATTCGATCTTCAGAGCTGTCGATCTAGCAAACCTACATATGAAGAGAAACACACACTGCCAGGTAATATTCTGGACATTTGCAGCTTTATTCACACATGTTGACCAACATTAGGGCATGTATGGGGTAAGTTGTCACAATTTAACTACAAATATCAACCATCAAAAAGTCTTAAAATTATTTAAATTTGGTTATATTATTTTATATTTTATATTATATTTTATATTATTTTATATTATATAATTAAATTATTTTAATTACATTTAGGGGTGGGAATCACCAGAGGTCCGATAATAAGATATTATCATGATTCTTAAGCGACAACACAATATTATTGCACTTTCAAACATGAAAACATATATACATATATATATATATATATTTTTTTTTTTGCAAAATGTCACGAAAGGAAAACTTTGTCCACATCCTTGTTCAATATTTTCAGCCTTCCTCATATTTTAGACATATTTAGCCAATTAAAAATGATTGCTCAATGTTGATTCAACGTATTTGTTTGTACAATATACAATTTGTTTTAAGCAATTTTACAAAGGAAAACCTTACTAAAACCCTAATGAGCAAGCCAAAGGTGATGCTATACTCTATATATATATATATATATATATATATATATATATATATATATATATATTTTTTTTTTTTTTTTTTGTATTACAGCAGAAGTATATCAGCCTAAATAAGTGGGTTATTTTCAACTACACTCTCAGAAAAAAGGTCCAAAAGCTGTCACTGGGACAGTTCCCATTCAAAAGGGTTTTTATATGTATAATTTATGTGCTAATATGTACACTTTTGGTATCAATATTTGCTTTTGAGGGACTAATATGCACTCTACAAAGGTGTACCACACACAGTGACAGCTTTAGTGTGTTAACTGAGGATTAAGAGGAAGGATCACAGAGGGTGTTTTCTACACTGACCCATATTGACACATTAACGTGCATCTCAACGTTTACCAGTTTACACGAGTGTTTACAACCCTAATGTTGTCTTTGTTTGATTCCCGTATATTTTCTATACTATAATTACGAGTGAGATTCCGGCTCGCTAAATCTGGCATTAACAGAGAATGAATGGAGAGGGAAATAATCGCCTTACCTTCTCCTGCACTCCTCTTACATTAGCATGGCCCTCTGGTGAATACTCCAACACTTATTCATACTAAATAACACACCGTGAGTGCACACACTACAGTAAGAGTAAGCAGAGCTGCTCGCTTCTTAGAAAGTTTGTTGGAATCTTTGAGAGATTTGAGTTCATTCGTCACATATCCAGACAGATCAGAGACTAACGGATTGTAGCCAATAGGAGAGGCGTATTAGGTTCTGGGCACGCCCTCTTTCACTTCGTTAGCCAATCAGCGCCATGGAACGCGGTTGCTCTCCGCGGTGCTGAAGTTGTTGTTTTGTGGGAGTGATTGACCTGATTAACATACGAGTTTTTTATAGTACACACACACTCTTTAAAATAAAGCTTTTTTATTGGCATCGATCGTTCATTAACATTAATGGAAACTTTTCAATGTAAAAAAATGGTTATTTACAATAGAAAAGGTTCTTCAGATGATTAAAATGTTCTTTGCACTACGTGTTCACTGAACAACAACAGAAAATGAGTTAAAAGGTGCACTTAAAGATATCTTGTTGACAAATCAGTGCTTTTTTCAGCAATTAAAAATAAATGTTGCATCAAATTATTCAATAAATAATGAAAACTGAGTCTTAAGAGCCTCATGCACTTGCATTGTTTAACCACTAAGGGGCAGAGTTTCCACACATTATGCCATTGCTACTGCACAGCTTCATATCTTGCTGTCATTAATACTCACACATGTGTGTTTACACTGCCTTTATCCTTTCTTTCGATTTCTACACTCTTAAAACACTCAAGGAATAACTGATACTAACTGATAACTTCGGAGGGTGTTTATATCTTTCAATCTTTTTATTTTTTTTATGTGATCAGACAAACTGGATGGGTTTGGATGAGGGTGGAGATTAAGTGTCAGCGGGACTGAGCGCCAACAGGATCGCGCTCATAATCTCGTGCTCGAGGATCATCTGATCTCAGGTCAGCCAGATCAGGAGAGAGAGAGAGAGAGAGAGAGAGAGAGAGAGAGAGAGAGAGAGAGAGTGCAGGACTCGTGCAAAACTCGTCTGTGTGTTTCAATGTCCAAGTGTTGAAAAATAACTCAGTCCATCGAGGGGGACATGAAATAAACTCTTCCAAAGATGATGCGAGGATACCGACCGGTGAGATGCTACACTTTTATCTGAGCAAAATATTACGTTCAACAGTTTGGGTGTTCTGTGAATATTCTGCATGTTTTTTTTTTTTTTTTTTTTTTACACTGGAAAATTATTTGAACTTATTTCTTTATATATATAGCCTATTTGAAAACGTTTTTCTCTCAATCGCAACATTATTTCCACAAACATTGCCTACATTTGATAATTTTAAATCAATTTTTTTTTTTAAATCACAACTAATGCGAAATAGGCTGCAATAGTGTGTAGAAATAGCAGTTTATAATCTCTTGCATTGTGACATCGCACAGATTTTGAACCGATCCGCGTGTCTGTTTTAATTATTATTACAGATGACTTGCGACAACTTAATCCCGATTACATTGGGATACAACAACAAAAGTAATGTTTTTAGTTCTTACAGTGTGATATCAAGAACAGATGCTGTTTTTCTATAGGGCAATATATGAAACCGATGGGATGTTTGTAAAAATCATATATGTAAATAAGATCCACACATTGCTCTTGCATTATGGCTTTTGTTGTTGTTGTTAAAATCATGGATTTGCGGATTACAGGAGCTTTACCTCGGGATACCCCAGGATATCAGACACAAAATATTTAAAGATGTCTCTGCTGCATTTATAATGTCTCATAACTGGCCTGTGTGTGTGTGTGTGTGTGGTCTCCTCATAGACGCCAGTCTCCAACTCGACCCTGTCCTTCTGCGGCACGGAGAACTCCTCGGCGTATAAGGTGGACAACGGCCTTCTGAACAACGGCTGCTTTCTGGATGCTCTCGGTGTGGTTCCTCATGTGTTCCTGCTCTTCAGCACCTTCCCCATCCTCTTCATCGGTGAGAGCCAGTGTGTGTGTGTGTGTGTTTCTGTCGTTCCCCATCCTCTTCATCGGTTAGAGGCTTCCTCACAGTCACATGGTCTTGGTTTCAAGGCACTTCTGTGTTCCTCGAAGATATGAGAATCTGGCATGTCAGATGCACTGAAGAAACTGTGGTGGAGTGTGTGAGTGTGATTGTGTGATTGTGTGATCGTGATCTCCTTACAGCTAATTCTCCCAATATTTGACTGAACTCTTCTTTCTAAAAAAGATCCACTTTTACCCCAGCAACTTACACTCTCAGAAAAAAAGGTTCAAAAGTTGTCACTGGGGCTGTACCTTTTTAAAAGGTAAACTTTTGTACCCAAAGGCTGCATATTGGTACCTTAGTGGTACACATTAGCACCTAAAATGTACATATTACCACCTACAATGTACATATTAGCTCATGAAATGGGCATATTAGCACCTAAAATGTACATATTAACACTTAAAGTGTACATATTAGCTCTTGCAATGGACATATTAGCTCCTGAAATTGACATATTAGTAATAATAATAATAATAATAAAAATAAAAATATTATTATATTAGCACCTAAATATTATTATTATTATATTTTCACCTAAAATGTACATATTAGCTCATGAAATGGGCATATTACCACCTAAAATGGACATATTAGCACCTAAAATGTACATATTAGCTCCTGAAATGGACATATAGCTCCTGAAATTGACATATTAGCACCTAAAATGTACATATTAACACTTAAAGTGTACATATTACCACCTAAAATGGACATATTAGCACCTAAAATGTACATATTAACACTTAAAATGGACATATTAGCTCCTGAAATGGACATATTAGCAGCTAAAATGTACTTATTAACACCTAAAATGTACATATTAGCTCTTGAAATGGACATATTAGCTAATGAAATGGGCATATTAGCACCTAAAATGCACATTAACACTTAAAATATACATATTAGCACCTAAAATGTACATATTAACACCTAAAATGGACAAAAGTTTACCTTAGTATTATGAAAATTAATAAAGAAAAATAATACTAAAAAATAACATTAAAAAATGTGTGTGTTGTGTTGTGTAGGCTGGGGCAGTCAGAGCTCGAAGGTCCACATTCATCACAGTGTGTGTGTGTGTGTGTGTGTTGTTGTGTTGTTGTGTTGTGTAGGCTGGGGCAGTCAGAGCTCGAAGGTCCACATTCATCACAGCACGTGGCTTCATTTCCCCGGCCACGACTTGCGCTGGCTGTTCACCACGGTCCTGCTGTTCGTGCTGGTGTGTGAGATCGCTGAGGGAATCGTGTCGGACGGGTGAGAACACACACACACACACACACCATCGACTCGCTTAACTGAATATCAGATCGTTAGTTTCACTTATTCAGCCATGAGCAATAAAATAGTTACATATAAAACGGCTGTACATTTTATGACTAAAAACTATATCATAACTTTTATATATTTAGGATCATAATATTCAAAATAACCTTTACACACACACACACATTATAATAAGACTTGATATATTTGGTCACAATTCAAATATAGGCAAATATGTGACTAACCAAATAAGGTATTTTTACATTCAAAGGAAATAAAGCATTACTTTTATTCAGCAAGGATGCATTACACTCATCAAAGTGACAGTAAAGACGTGTACAGTGTAATATTACAAAATTATACTATTTCGGTAACACTTTACAATAAGGTTCATTAGTTAACATGAACAAAACACTTCTCTACAGCATTTATTAATCTCCGTTTATTTCAACATTTACTAATGCATGAAGAGACTTCTTCCAAAAACTCGGCTTGGTCTTCAGCACAGAATAGCATACAATAACGTGTGTGTGTGTGTGTGTGTGTGTGTTCTGCAGTGTTTAATAACCGAATGCATTTGTTCTCAGGTTTAATCAGTCTCGGCATCTTCACCTCTACATGCCAGCCGGACTCGGGATTCTGGCCGCCGTCACATCCATCATCTATTACCACAACATCGAGACCTCCAACTTCCCCAAGCTGCTTATCGGTACACTAAACCCTTCCAGATTCACATCCTCATCATCCCTGAGATAAACACTGAATGTTGTCAAAATACTGGCAGTGAACAGACTTTATTTATATAGCACTGTTCATACATGGTGGCAATTTAAAGTGCTTTAAAATAATTACAAAATAAAAGCAAGGAAAATTAAAATGGTTATGAAATGAATTAAAATAGATATATGATAGAGTTATAAAATGAATTAAAAGAGTACACAGATGATACACAGGCTTATGGATATACTGCTCTTGGTATCCAGCTCTGCTGATCTACTGGACTTTGGCCTTCATCACCAAAACCATCAAGTTTGTGAAGTACGATTGCCACGGCATCGGGCCGAGACAGCTGCGGTTCTGCATCACGGGCCTCCTGGCGCTCCTGTACGGGCTTCTGCTGGGGGTCGAGGTCAACGTGATCCTGCGCCGGGTGAGTGTGGGGTCAGGGGTCACAGCGGGAATATCTGGGATATCTGTGAGTGTGGGGTCAAGGGTCAAAGCGGGTATATATGGGATATCTGTGAGTGTGGGGTCAGGGGTCACTGCAGGAATATCTGGGATATCTGTGAGTGTGGGGTCAGGGGTCACTGCAGGAATATCTGGGATATCTGTGAGTGTGGGGTCAGGGGTCACTGCAGGAATATCTGGGATATCTGTGAGTGTGGGGTCAGGGGTCACAGTGGGGATATCTGGGATATCTGTGAGTGTGGGGTCAAGGGTCAAAGCGGGGATATCTGGGATATTTGTTTGTGTGGGGTCAAGAGTCAAAGCGGGAATATCTGGGATATCTATGAGTGTGGGGTCAGGGGTTACTGTGGAAATATCTGGGACATCTGTGAGTGTGGGGTCAGGGGTCACAGTGGGGATATCTGGGATATGTGTGAGTATGGGGTCAGGGGTTACTGTGGAAATGTCTGGGACATCTGTGAGTGTGGGGTCAGGGGTCACAGTGGGGATATCTGGGATATGTGTGAGTATGGGGTCAGGGGTTACTGTGGAAATATCTGGGACATCTGTGAGTGTGGGGTCAGGGGTCACAGTGGGGATATCTGGGATATGTGTGAGTATGGGGTCAGGGGTTACTGTGGAAATATCTGGGATATCTATGAGTGTGGGGTCAGGGGTCACAGCGGGAATATCTGGGATATGTGTGAGTATGGGGTCAGGGGTTACTGTGGAAATATCTGGGACATCTGGGAGTGTGGGGTCAGGGGTCACAGTGGGGATATCTGGGATATATGTGAGTGTGGGGTCAAAGGTCACAGTGGGAATATCTGGGATATCTGTGAGTGTGAGGTCATGGGTCACAGCGGGAATATCTGGGATATCTATGAGTGTGGGGTCAAGGGTCAAAGCGGGGATATATGGGATATCTGTGAGTGTGGGGTCAGGGGTCACAGTGGGGATATCTGGGATATATGTGAGTGTGGGGTCAAAGGTCACAGCGGGAATATCTGTGAGTGTGGGGTCAGGGGTCACAGCGGGTATATATGGGATATCTGTGAGTGTGGGGTCAGGGGTCACAGCGGGAATATCTGGGATATGTGTGAGTGTGGGGTCAAAGGTCACAGTGGGAATATCTGGGATATCTGTGAGTGTGGGGTCAGGGGTCACAGCGGGTATATATGGGATATCTGTGAGTGTGGGGTCAGGGTCACAGCGGGAATATCTGGGATATGTGTGAGTGTGGGGTCAAGGGTCAAAGCGGGGATATCTGGGATATTTGTTTGTGTGGGGTCAAGAGTCAAAGCGGGGATATCTGAAATATCTGTGAGTGTGGGGTTAGGGGTCTCAGCGGGAATATCTGGGATATCTATGAGTGTGGGGTCAAGGGTCAAAGCGGGGATATATGGGATATCTGTGAGTGTGGGGTCAGGGGTCACAGTGGGGATATCTGGGATATATGTGAGTGTGGGGTCAAAGGTCACAGTGGGAATATCTGGGATATCTGTGAGTGTGGGGTCAGGGTCACAGCGGGTATATATGGGATATCTGTGAGTGTGGGGTCAGGGGTCACAGCGGGAATATCTGGGATATGTGTGAGTGTGGGGTCAAGGGTCAAAGCGGGGATATCTGGGATATTTGTTTGTGTGGGGTCAAGAGTCAAAGCGGGGATATCTGAAATATCTGTGAGTGTGGGGTCAGGGGTCACAGTGGGGATATCTGGGATATATGTGAGTGTGGGGTCAAAGGTCACAGTGGGAATATCTGGGATATCTGTGAGTGTGGGTCATGGGTCACAGCGGGAATATCTGGGATATCTATGAGTGTGGGTCAAGGGTCAAAGCGGGGATATATGGGATATCTGTGAGTGTGGGGTCAGGGGTCACAGTGGGGATATCTGGGATATATGTGAGTGTGGGGTCAAAGGTCACAGTGGGAATATCTGGGATATCTGTGAGTGTGGGGTCAGGGGTCACAGCGGGTATATCTGGGATATCTGTGAGTGTGGGGTCAGGGGTCACAGCGGGAATATCTGGGATATGTGTGAGTGTGGGGTCAAGGGTCAAAGCGGGGATATCTGGGATATTTGTTTGTGTGGGGTCAAGAGTCAAAGCGGGGATATCTGAAATATCTGTGAGTGTGGGGTCAGGGGTCACAGTGGGGATATCTGGGATATCTGTGAGTGTGGGGTCAAAGGTCACAGTGGGAATATCTGGGATATCTGTGAGTGTGGGGTCAGGGGTCACAGCGGGTATATATGGGATATCTGTGAGTGTGGGGTCAGGGGTCACAGCGGGAATATCTGGGATATGTGTGAGTGTGGGGTCAAGGGTCAAAGCGGGGATATCTGGGATATTTGTTTGTGTGGGGTCAAGAGTCAAAGCGGGGATATCTGGAATATCTGTGAGTGTGGGGTCAGGGGTCACAGCGGGAATATCTGGGATATGTGTGAGTATGGGGTCAGGGGTCACTGTGGAAATATCTGGGACATCTGTGAGTGTGGGGTCAGGGGTCACAGCAGGTATATATGGGATATCCCAGATGAACAGTAGTGTATATTTGTATATATGAGTAAACTGTATATAAAGGTTCAAAAAATGAACATCGACTAAGATGACGTATTATTCATTAATAATGTAAACAAATGGAACCTTATTGTAAAGTTTGGACACAAGGAACAACCCTAGAGTCCACGAGGACATTAATGAACGGCGTGATCCGCTCTCTCCGTTGCATAACGGCTCGATGTGAGATTAAAATGATGAGAACCTGCATTGAATCAAATGACCACGCAACTCACAATCATCTTCTGTTGACGCAAATCCCTCGCTCTTCTCAGCTGTTTATCGGACGCTTGTTTTCCGGTGAGGAGAGCGGAGGCTCAGTCCAGGTCTTGAGTTTATAACTGCTTAAAAAAGAATGTGCGTAACATCAATCTCTGGGGATAATCTTGTCTCATAACCGCTCCGTGTTTGGCCTCACATTATCAGAATAAAGTTTTGGAAAATTACCAAATGGGGAAAACACACTTAAGCTATAATACGATTCCAGTAGTGTCATATTACAGTTTGTCAAGAAATATTATGCATCATCTGTTTTTGGACATAAATATAAGTCATTTTGTTAACAAATTTGTAAACAAAGTATCCAGACATGCAATTACATTTCTCATGTTTGTTTAATAGAGCTTATAGTTTTACTTCTATAACCCTTGTGAGAAAAGAAATACATTTTTAAAAATATCACTTATATCATAAATAAATAACTTTAAATAATTCTTTTAATGTGTGAGCTGTATGTAATGTTTTCAGATGCTTAATTGAATATTATTACAATTAAATTATATATATATATATATATATATATATATAAATAATATAATATTAAATGATGGACAGTTCCTAAACTATAAAATGGAAAATTCTGTATATTAACAATACGTTTTCTGTACTTTTCACGGATAATAAATATACAGAAATAGCATCTTTTGGTAGGCTTGCAAATAACTGAATAACAATATATTCAAATTGAACATGGTTTAATTGTTTTTTGTAAAAATCATGTAAACATTCTTAAATGCATTCAAAGATTTATTGATATATATATATATATATATATATATATATATATATATATATATATATATGGGTAAAAATGTATTTATATATACAATATATATATATATATATATATATATATATATATATATATTGTTCCCACAATGCAATGCGAAATTCAAAATAAAAGACCTTTGAAAGACAAATATGGAAAAATCCTTCAAATTTATATGGGATTTTTAAGGATTTCCGATGTCCTCGTTGATGCTCTGTATGCGTCTAAATCGGAGTGAATCACTGCATCCATGTTGCAACATGAATTGAAACAGTTTCCCAAACAGCAGCAGCAAAGGGATTGTTGAAGGTTTTGAGATGTAAATGCATGTAAAGCTGTGGAAGCTCCTCTAATGCCTCGTTCTGGTTGGGTTCCAGCGCTACATGTGGTTTGCGGTTCCCACGGAGGTGAAGCCACCCGATGACCTTCAGGATCTGGGCGTTCGGTTCCTCCAGCCGTTCGTGAATCTGCTGTCGAAGAGCACGTACTGGTGGATGAACACCTTCATCACATCTGCACACCAGCGGCCCATCGACCTGAAGACCATCGGCAAGCTGCCCATCTCCATGAGGGCGCTCACCAACTACCAGCGGCTCCGCAAGGCCTTCGACGCGCAAGCCGTATGTTCATGCTTTATCTTCATTTATATAGCGAGTTTAACAATGTGGATTGTTCCAAAGCTGCTTTACAGTGATAATAGGAGATTACAGTAACAGAGATTGTTTTGGCTTTATGACAGCTCTAGAATAAAGTTATTTTCCAGCTAAAGATAGTTTTGATTGATTCGCTTCAAACGCGGATAGCGTCAAAAGAACATTAGGAGAATCACAAAGTTTCACCTAATTTATTCTATTGAGACATTTCTCATTTAACCAGTGCTAGTCCAAAATACAAAAACAAGTAACATAATCTAGATTATGCATTCTGACTACTTTTAGATTATTTTGGACCTGACTCGTTTATCGCATTGATATGAACATACAAAGAGAAAGAAAGTATTTTACATTCAGAAAGATTAACTGTGTTTTATTATTATTATTGACCTCATTTAATATTGACTTTATTATTAGTGCTTGCTTCAAGTAAACATACTACGGCATTGCTGAAAAAAAAAGTTGAATCCCTGGATTGCATATACAACATGAAATCACGTGCAGACAAAAGCCTCACAGAGACCGTAATACATGGTTAAATGACTCAGTGATAATTCAAACTATAATTAATGAGTTCTTCTGGATGAATAGAAAGTTCAAAAGAACAGGATTTATTTGAAACATTATTACAAATGTCTCTACTGTCACTTTTGATCAGTTTAACGCACCCTTGAATATTTATTTTTTAATTATTGTTAACCCTTTGAAGTCCGCACCAAGAAAAAAATGATGGGATTTTTTTTGTTTGCATTCCTTATCTTATTATGTCTCTAGTAACCACACTCAATGCATTTTTTTTTTCAACACATCCCATCATTTTTAAAATGGTTGAGATGTCACTTTACGGTAATAAATGGTACCGGAATTCATACACATGCTTTGCCACACTTTTTCATTGCCCATCATAATTTATGATCAAAACCTTTTCTAGTCTTAACAAAACACATTGTCAGAAAGGTCTGAGTCTCAAGGTCCCATATTTTGTAACAGAAGTGATATTTGGACAGAAATGTATTCATTTTTTACAGCAGAATGCATACAAATATGTCATTTTTGGTATTACGCCTAAACAAAATGTCATGGGAACTTTAATTTTTGTGATATAAACTTCAAATTTGGAACACAACTTGGTTAGATATATGGCTTTGATTTTATAGTAATTTTATAGGAAAAAATATTTTGTAAAATATATATTTTGTATAAAAGAAAAAATATTTACTACAGTATATTTGATTTAATGAAAACTATTTCATACTTTATTTTTTTAAGTGCTTTTACTTCAGCAATAATCATAGTGTTTTTTGTTTTTTTTAAACAAGACTAAATTCAGGCCTTTATTCCAAAGTTTTAATAGTGCATTGTAATATCCATTCTCGAACCATTAAACGTTATGTGCCAAATCAACCGTTTGGTTGAGCATGCTTTTTAAAATTATTAAAAATATGCTTAAGTTTTTTCATTGCACCAAGTAACATCATTTTGTAAAGTATAAAATATGCTTAGGTTGCAAAATTTCACCAAAAACAGTTCACATGGCTCTGGGTGATTTATTTGTTCCTGACATCCATGTTAGAAGAAGTGTTGTGACCAGTGCTGTTGATTGGAAAAATACAAAATCCAAAAATACAGAATGAATAATACAGACATAATATTTATGATATCCCTCAAATGATATCTGTGTGCTGGTTCATTCAAGGCCAGTATAATCTGGATTTGAGGGAAAAGCTGCATGTACATAGACATTACGTAAGTTTAAACAGCAGGATCTCTTTCTCTGCCAAAATCAGAGATCTGCAAACTTTCATTTTTTGCTGTTCTTTGTTATTTGTGGACAAGTGCTTGTATAACCAGACCTTGTATGTCCCCGATACAGTGGAATTGCTTTTATCCTCTTTGTCCTGAAAACAGACAGGACTTCAGAAACACTTCAGATTAAAACATGCTAAAATGTGTTTGGGTGTGGGTTTTACATAATCTGTGCATCAGTTACTAAATGACCAGTTTAGAGGCTATTAAAATTAAATATTCTGTGAATCTCATCATCACCGCTGGCTCATCTGTCCAGCCAGAATAACTTGCGAGATGTATGATATTCCATCAAGTCAGCAAAGTCAACAGTGATCACAGTGTTTGGTTTCATTTCTTCGCTCATTTCATTTCTTTGTGATCTGTTCTTATTCTTAGACGTATTCAGTTTTCACTGACGTGTTTTAGCCTAGGTTCAGGGCTGTGTTATTCGGACGGCTATAATCGTCTTTTAAACGCAAAATTGCTTGCTGGGAATCTGCGTCTGTCATCACCACATGTCGTCTCTTTCCACACACTTCTAGCCAAAATTACTTCGGATTGGGTTACATGTAGGGTTGGGTATCGTTTGAATTTGAACGATTCTGATTCCGATTCCGATTCCTTGTTTCGATTCCGATTCCTAACGATTCTCGATTTCGATTCTTTTAAGAGGCAGGGTCAAAAAAGTTTAGCTAACCTTGTTAACCAATGGTCTTTCTGAAGGAAATACAACTTCTTTCACAAATACTTGTCACAAATGTTGCATTTTGTCGAGATTTCGTTAATTTTTAGAAAAGTGAAGCCACACTTTGGATCGCCGACGTAAGCTACTCATGTTCGACTCGCGCGGTTATGCCAACACTTCCGGTAGACGCTTCTTCGTTGGTGTTGTTCAGCGGTTTCTTCTTCCACTCGGCGGACTATAGACCATTTCACAAGATGTAAACAACACTGGTCCAGAAGCACTTCCTGTTTCAGTTTTTTAACACTACATAAAAGCTGGGATAAAATACAACCAACAGAACATTTAAAACTGAATCAAAAAGTTAAACAAACATCTTTAAGATGTTTTCTTTACATGTGAAATAAAGAAAACAGTTACAAACTGAAACAGGAAGTGATTCTGGACCAGTGTTGTTTACATCTTGTGAAATGGTCTATATCGAAACTAGGAATTGAAATTTTAACTTTTGAACGATTCCGGGAAAAACGAAAAGTTAGTCCCGGTTCCAATCGATACTCGATTCTCGATACCCAACCCTAATGATATTCCATCAAGTCAGTAAAGTCAACAGTGATTAAAAGGTGTTTGGTTTCATTTCTTTTCTTTGTGATCTAATTGATGACGAGTCTTTTTACACCGTGTCCTAACTGTTACACCGTGTCCTAACTACACGCGACGCGACGCCGCGACACGCGATAAAAAGTATCTTTTCCATGTTAATCAGAGTTATTGTCCTAACCAGACGCGACGACGACACGCGAAGTTTTAGCAGCAGAGTTTCTCTGTGAAAGCGCACTGTTGGCCCGCACTTGCATTGGAATGGGTGAGGACATAATTTAATCAAGAAATAACATTATTAAAAATCAAAACATTAACAAAATATACTCATTGACTAATTTTGTTATGAAGTACAGTCGTTTGCATAGAATTCATTTTGAACGCTATATTACATGCTTTCAAAATCTGAGGTAAATTATCCGTTATCTCTTGTGGCAGTGACCTATTTATAACTAAAAATAAATAATGTATACTCATAACCAGTGTAATTTCTTCATTCTGTCAGCCGCGACGTCGCAGAAATAGGAACCGTTTCTAAATTAGAAACTTCGCGTGTCGCCGTCGCGTCTGGTTAGGACAAAAACTCTGATTAACATGGAAAAGATACCTTAAGTTTTATCGCGTGTCGCGGCGTCGCGTGTAGTTAGGACGTCTATTAAATGTTCACTGATAGCCAAAATTTTACCTTGTTTTAGTGTGTGTTCGGACGGCTATTAGACATCTTTTAAGAGTCCAATTGCCTTTATGCACAGCTCCACAACTTCAGCCAGCTCCTTGTTTCTTGTCTACCATTATTGGACAAACTGATTAATCCAGTGTCTCGCCTCAGTAGTCACAACAACAATAATCAGGCACAGCTGAATTAATCAAGTTTGTCCAATAATGGCAGACAGGAAATAAGGAGCTGGCTGAAGTTCTGGAAGTAATGCTGCTGGGCATAAAGCCAATTGGTTGCTGGGAATCTGCGCGTGTCATCCCCGCTGGTTCATCTGTTTGTCTCGGTGTGTGTGTGTGTGTGTGTGTGCAGGAGGACGGGCCCGTCCCGCTGAAGGGCTCGAGGTGGATCTGGCGTTCCCTCCGGCTGGCGTTCGGCAGGCCTCTGGTGCTCAGCATCACCTTCCGCTTCATGGCGGATCTGCTGGGCTTCGCCGGGCCGCTCTGCATCTCGGGGATCGTTCACCACATAAGCAGTGACAATCACAGTGCTCTGCCTCCGGTACCAGTGCAAATATTACAGTGGTCCCAACCAAACCAGTCAAACCACACTTACATTCATGCTTTTATCCAAAGCGACTTACATTACATTTTAAGTTACACATTTACATTCTTATCAGTTCTTGCTTTCCTTGAGAATCAAACCCATGACCTTGGCGTTGCAAGCACCAACGCTCTACTGTTTGAGCTGTTTGCTGTTTGATGTCCATGTCTTTCTTTCTTCAGTCAAAAAGAAATTAAGGTTTTTGATGAAAACATTCCAGGATTTTTCTCCATATAATGGACTTCAATGGGCTCCAAACGGTTCAAGGTCCAAATGAGAGTTTCAGTGCAAACTGCAGACTGTTCAAAGGGCTTTAAACGACGCCAGACGATGAATAAGGGTCTTATCAAGCGAAACGATCGCTCATTTAAAAAAATAAAATAACAAAGTTTAAGTTTTATAAGCTCAAATGCTAATGCTTAAATCCCCAACCTAACCAGTCAAACCACACTTACATTCATGCTTTTATCCAAAGCGACTTACATGACATTTTAAGCTTCACATTTACATTCTTATCAGTTCTTGCTTTCTCCGGGAATCGAACCCATGACCTTGGCGTTGCAAGCACCAGCGCTCTACTGTCTGAGCTTCAGGAAAACGTAACACTTGCACACTGGGTCCGAAATTCTCGTCCAAATTTTGTGCACGTTAAAAAATAAATGTGTTGTGTCAATCACGTTTACGCACTGCGTTTGCGTTTTTTGCATCCGTAGCAAGCATTTTGTTTTGACATTTCAGAGCCACCAAATGACGAAAATGAAAAACGCATATTGAGTCTATATAATATTTTAGAATTACTGAAATAAATGAACTTTTGCACGATGTTCAAATTTTTCTTTAAAATGTTTGCTATTTTTTTATTATGTGTGGCTTCAGTGTCCAAGTTATTTAGCAAAGTTGGACCATGATATGTTTAAAGACCTGTTTGCATTTTAAAATAATTTGGAATAATGTTTTTGCCCCTTTCCAGTTTTAATCTATTTTTTTGGAGCGCAACAAGAAAGCATTAAAGCGTTAGTAAGTTCCAGGGCAACATCTGGCGCTGTTCTGTGACATCTGGATCCCTGAAACACCAGCGTTTTAAATGTCGCCACTTTGAGTGTGTAGTGTCCATGTTCCTGACAAACACTCGGGACAATTGCTTTGCGTTTCAGTTCAGTACTTGTCAAATCTGATTGTGTGCCACTGCATAATTGTCACTTGATATGCAAATGCTTTATGGAAAACATGATTTTTTTAATGCATATTATTTTTAAAACAAGTTCATGTTATTTTCTTTTGATATATTTTGTTGCTAATTTGTATTCTTCTTAAAAAAATACATGATTCTCTATTCAAATCACATTATTCTCCTCATATTCTCCGTTGTTGCGGCTCCTCTTTTCCCAGTCCATCAGTAACGCTCTGTTTACTTCCTGTCTCTATGAAGCCCCTCCTTCTGAAAGCACACTGTGCTCTGATTGGTCGGCTGGATCAGTGTGTTGTGATTGGTCGAACTAACTCAGCCAGGCCCCGCCCCTTTATTCTGCGTATTAATTATTATAATGAGGAATATTGTGACGTTTGTTCCCGGAAGAAACTAAGAAGAGTTGAGGAACACTGACACTAATGTAGAGAAGAACTGGAGCTTGTTCATGATCAAACAGCAACATTAAAGAAAAATCATTCAATTATGGGGTGAAATATGACCTGGACATCTTCAAGATTCTCCCATTGGTCGATATTTTACACACACACACTCACACACACTCTTTTTCCCAGGTGAAGCTGCTTGGAGTGCACTTCATCTCCTCGGAGGCGTTCCTGGCGAATGCGTATGTTCTCGCTGTCCTGCTGTTTCTGGCCCTGCTGCTGCAGAGGACTTTCCTTCAGGCCTCGTATTATGTGGCCATTGAGACCGGGATCAAACTCAGAGGAGCCATTCAGGTATGATTAATAATCCCTGCCTGTCAAAAAAACTCTCGTTTTTTGTTCATTATTCTGTTTAAGTCGGCATGAAAAAGAAGTTGCGCTCGTCTTTTCTTCCTAATTGTGCCGTATATCCCAGTGAAACGCTTCTGGAACAAGAACGAATGTGGGCGGGGCTTGATTTTATTTGTGGTTGGATGATTTTGCTATTGGCTGAGCTCATGTGAGTGACAGGTTGCTCCGTCCTCGTCGTCAGAGAAGAGAAGAGTCAAGATAATTAACACAATACTGATGTGCTCTGATAAATCATTTAGTATAAACACTGCAATATTCCATAACAAACAACAAGTGTCCCTTTTGCTTTCATGGTGACTTTAATTGGTTAGATGAAGATTAAAGGAGTAGATCACTTTTAAAAAAACTTTAGCTGATAATTTACTCTCCCCCATGTCATCCAAGATGTCCATGTCTTTCTTTCTTCAGTCGAAAAGAAATTAAGGTTTTTGATGAAAACATTCCAGGATTTTTCTCCTTATAATGGACTTCAATGGGAACCGAACGGTTCAAGGTCAGTACAAACTGTTCAAAGGGCTTTATATTAAACGACACCAGACGATGAATAAGAGTCTTATCTAGCGAAACATTTAAAAAAAAAAATAACATAGTTTAAGTTTTATAAGTTCTGTGATGCGAGTTCGTGACTCTCCTGTTCGAACTCGTTCATCAAATTGAACGAATCTTTTCCCGTCTGGAATCGTTTAAAGCCCTTTGAACAGTTTGCACTGAAACTCTCGTTTGGACCTTGAACCGTTTGGTTCCCATTGAAGTCCATTATATGGAGAAAATCCTGGAATGTTTTCATCAAAAACCTTAATTTCTTTTCGACTGAAGAAAGAAAGACGTGGACATCTTGGATGACATGGGGGTGAGTAAATTATCAGCTAACGTTTTTTTTAAAAATGAACTACTCCTTGAAAACGTTTCGTCATTGTTCTTTTCCCCACAGACTAAGATTTACAATAAGATCATGCGTCTGTGCACTTCTAACATGTCTATGGGTGACATGACCACGGCCCAGATCTGCAGTCTCGTGGCCCGCGACACCAACCACCTCATGTGGTTCTTCTTCCTCTGTCCCAACCTGTGGGCCATGCCGGTTCAGGTGAGCATCGGGGATTGTTTCGTTTAAGCGTCATGAACACATGTCTGCATTGTAAATTCTGCTGAATTGTGTGCAGATTGTCATTGGTGTGTTACTCCTCTACTATCTGCTGGGAGTGAGCGCTCTGATCGGAGCGACTGTTATCGTGGCGTTGGCTCCGCTGCAGTATTTCGTAGCCACTCGACTCTCGCGCGCACAGAAGAGCACTCTGGTGAGCAAATCAGTCGACTAGCCGCGTTTCCATTACCCTTCAAATTGAAAATACGTAATGCTGTAATGCATGAGTGCGCAGTGATGTGTGTGTGTGTGTGTGTTACAGGAATACACCAGTGAGAGACTAAAGAAAACCAACGAGCTTCTGAGGGGGATCAAGCTCCTGAAGCTGTACGCGTGGGAACACATCTTCAGATCCAGCGTTGAGGAAACACGCAGACAAGAGCTGAGCAACCTCAGGACGTTTGCTCTCTACACGTCCCTCTCCAGTGAGCCTCAAAGCAAAGCCAGTGCATGAAGCCCATACGCTTTACATGCGGATTATTAAATATAGCATGCTAACTTTGATCATTACATCTTCATGTAAAATGCATGTAAAGTAATATTATTAAATATTAGAAATTATGTGAAATGTAAATGTAGATTAAATATTTTAGGGCAAATGCAAACTTGGATTATTAAGATGTAAAATGTGAATTTAATAAATATATTATAAAATGAAACATTAAAAAATTGTAATAAAATTGGCCGTCATAAAATTATAAAAGCCAAAAAATTATAAAAATACAAAAAACATCCTTTTAAATATTTTAACTTACAAAATTGTAAATATATTTGCAACCATTAAATGCAGTGATTTCTTTTCATTTCTGTCCTCAGTCTTCATGAATGCCGCCATCCCGATCGCTGCTGTTCTCACAGTGAGTCTTCATTCCCTCTCTCTCTCTCTCTCTCTCTCTTATGTAACGCTCTCTCACAGCTCAGTTCTGTCACTAATGCTGGTTTATCAGTGTTTGAGTGCACGTGTTCTCCTGCACAGATCTTTGCGGTGTACGTGCGAGTTCACAGCGTCTCCGACTCGGATCTGTCTCCCGCTGTGGCCTTCGGGTCGCTGTCGCTCTTCCATATACTGGTGACGCCGCTGTTCCTGCTCTCCAGTGTCCTGCACTCCACTGTCAAAGCCCTCGTCAGGTGATCTTCATCATCATCCTCATCTTCATCCTCATCTTCATCTTCTATATACTGGTGACGCCGCTGTTCCTGCTCTCCAGTGTCCTGCACTCCACTGTCAAAGCCCTCGTCAGGTGATCTTCATCATCATCATCCTCATCTTCATCCTCATCTTCATCTTCTATATACTGGTGACACCACTGTTCCTGCTCTCCAGTGTCCTGCACTCCACTGTCAAAGCCCTCGTCAGGTGATCTTCATCATCATCCTCATCTTCATCCTCATCTTCATCTTCTATATACTGGTGACGCCGCTGTTCCTGCTCTCCAGTGTCCTGCACTCCACTGTCAAAGCCCTCGTCAGGTGATCTTCATCATCATCATCCTCATCTTCATCCTCATCTTCATCTTCTATATACTGGTGACGCCGCTGTTGCTGCTCTCCAGTGTCCTGCACTCCACCGTCAAAGCCCTCGTCAGGTGATCTTCATCATCATCCTCATCTTCATCTTCTATATACTGGTGACGCCGCTGTTCCTGCTCTCCAGTGTCCTGCACTCCACTGTCAAAGCCCTCGTCAGGTGATCTTCATCATCATCATCCTCATCTTCATCCTCATCTTCATCTTCTATATACTGGTGACGCCGCTGTTCCTGCTCTCCAGTGTCCTGCACTCCACTGTCAAAGCCCTCGTCAGGTGATCATCATCATCATCTTCATCCTCATCTTCATCTTCTATATACTGGTGACACCACTGTTGCTGCTCTCCAGTGTCCTGCACTCCACCGTCAAAGCCCTCGTCAGGTGATCTTCATCATCATCTTCATCATCATCATCATCTTCATCCTCATCTTCGATATACTGGTGACACCTCTGTTCCTGCTCTCCACCGTCAAAGCCCTCGTCAGGTGATCTTCATCATCATCATCATCCTCATCTTCATCATCATCTTCATCCTCATCTTCATCCTCATCTTCATCTTCTATATACTGGTGACACCACTGTTGCTGCTCTCCAGTGTCCTGCACACCACAGTCAAAGCCCTCGTCAGGTGATCTTCATCATCATCATCATCTTCATCCTTATCTTCCATATACTGGTGACACCTCTGTTCCTGCTCTCCACCGTCAAAGCCCTTGTCAGGTGATCTTCATCATCATCATCATCCTCATCTTCATCATCATCTTCATCCTCATCTTCTATATACTGGTGATGCTGGTGTTCCTGCTCTCCAGTGTCCTGCACTCCACTGTCAAAGCCCTCGTCAGGTGATCTTCATCATCATCATCTTCTTCATCATCATCTTCATCATCATCTTCATCCTCATCTTCTATATACTGGTGACGCCACTGTTCCTGCTCTCCAGTGTCCTGCACTCCACCGTCAAAGCCCTCGTCAGGTGATCTTCATCATCATCTTCATCATCATCATCATCTTCATCCTCATCTTCGATATACTGGTGACACCTCTGTTCCTGCTCTCCACCGTCAAAGCCCTCGTCAGGTGATCTTCATCATCATCATCTTCATCTTCATGTTTCTGCCATTCATGCAGTTTAAAAACCAATGGTTCCTGTCATTATTTATTTTTGGATACACATTTAACCTAAAAAATGTTTATTTTTTAACTTCTTCTCAGTGTGCAGAAACTGAGTGAATTTCTTGGCAGTGCAGAGATTGAAACCGACCAGGATCCCATCGCCCAAAGTCCGGCGAACAACAACGGCAACATTAAGTCTGTCGTGAGTATGCACAAAAGCAAGAACCCATTTTATTTGGAAGTGAACTTTTTTTAAGCAAACATATTGGGATTGTTTCAAAGGTATCGATACTCAACAACACTAGAGCTGCACGATTAATCGAAATAAAAGCGAAATTGCAATATGGCTGTGATTTAATTTAATAAATGTGTGCACTGCATGTTTCAGAGTGAAACTCGGCACTGTGTTGATTTACACGAGCATCCCATGATCCGGTCACTTTAACGTGCGTTTGGGAATGAATCCGTTCTGCAGTGCATTGATGAAGTGTTTGTTCGGTTCCCCCAGTATGCATTACAGCTTCAGGCCAAACTAGTGAATCGTAAGAATAAAGACGTGAACCGGAACTTTGAGCATCAAGAGCAGAAACGGACAGAGTCAGCAGCTCCGGAGGACGACGTGTGTATTAAGGTGAGATTGAATTATTGAATGCGACAATGATCGCTTCTTCGCCTGATACTGTGGATGTGGAGGATTTGATACTCCATCACAACTAAATTTTGCATAGTAACACTTTACAATCAGGTTAATTAGTTAACATTAGTTAATGTATTAACTAATATGAAATAACAATAAGCAATACATTTGTTACAGTATTTATTAACCTTTGTAAATAGATTGTTAGTGTTAATGTTAGTTAATGAAGTTAATCAGCTATTCATTGTTTGTTGATGTTAGTTCACAGTGCATTAACAAATACAAGTTTTGATGTTAATAACGTATTAGTAAATGTTGAAAATAATATTAACTCAGATTAATAAACGCTGTAGAAGTATTGTTCATTCTTAGTTCATCCTAACTAATGTAGTTATAAACTATGTAAAGCGTATTGTAAAGTGTTACCATTAGCTTTAACAAGAACGTTATTGTGTTTCTGTTTCAGATTGTAAACGGCTACTTCACATGGACACAGGGATGCCCGACTCTCACCAATATTGACATCAAGGTTCCCTTCGGTGAGGATCAGTCGTGCTGTTACTGTAGTGTTGTACTCGTGTATTTAACGGTAAGAGTAACAGTTACTGTAGTTACTCGCGTGTTTAACGGGACGAGTAACGGTTACTGTAGTTACTCGTGTGTTTAATGGGAAGAGTAGCGGTTACTGTAGTTACTCGCGTGTTTAACGGGATGAGTAACGGTTACTGTAGTTACTCGCGTGTTTAACGGGAAGAGTAACGGTTACTGTAGTTACTCGCGTGTTTAACGGGATGAGTAACGGTTACTGTAGTTACTCGCGTGTTTAACGGGATGAGTAACGGTTACTGTAGTTACTCGCGTGTTTAACGGGATGAGTAACGGTTACTGTAGTTACTCGCGTGTTTAACGGGATGAGTAACGGTTACTGTAGTTACTCGTGTGTTTAATGGGAAGAGTAAAAGTTACTGTAGTTACTCGTGTGTTTAACAGGAAGAGTAAAAGTTACTGTAGTTACTCGCGTGTTTAACAGGACGAGTAACGGTTACCGTGGTTACTCGCGTGTTTAAAGGGTTAGTTCACCCAAAAATGAAAATTAAGTCATTAATTACTCACCCCCATGCTGTACCAACCCCGTAAGACCTTCGTTCGTCTTCGGAACACAAAGGAAGATATTTTTGATTAAATTTGAGAGCTGTATAACTACCACATTGGCTCCTAAGGGACTGCCTCTTGACGGCCCAAAAAGTCAATGAAGAAAATGTTTAAATATCCCAAGTGACTACCGTGGCTCAACTATATGTTTATCAAGCGACGCGAATACTTTTTGTGCGAAAAAACAAACAAAAATAACGAGTTTATTCGACTATTTTTTTCTTCCTTGTAGGCCAGAACGAGACTTCCTTATAGATTTCCACGACGCATGCGCGAGATTTGCGATCTGCGTACACAGCTTACACTACTTCAGATCGCAATTCTCGCGCATGCGTCGTGGAAATCTATAAGGAAGTCTCGTTCTGGCCTACAAGGAAGAAAAAAATAGTCGAATAAACTCGTTATTTTTGTTTGTTTTTTCGCACAAAAAGTATTCGCGTCGCTTGATAAACATATAGTTGAGCCTCGGTAGTCACTTGGGATATTTAAACATTTTCTTCATTGACTTTTTGGGCCGTCAAGAGGCAGTCCCTTAGGAGCCAATGTGGTAGTTATACAGCTCTCAAATTTAATCAAAAATATCTTCATTTGTGTTCCGAAGACGAACGAAGGTCTTACGGGGTTGGTACAGCATGGGGGTGAGTAATTAATGACTTAATTTTCATTTTTGGGTGAACTAACCCTTTAACAAGACGAGTAACAGTTACTGTAGTTACTCGCGTGTTTAACAGGAAGAGTAACAGTTACTGTAGTTACTCGCGTGTTTAACAGGAAGAGTAAAAGTTACTGTAGTTACTCGCGTGTTTAACAGGACGAGTAACAGTTACTGTAGTTACTCGCGTGTTTAATGGGAACAGTAACAGTTACTGTAGTTACTCGCGTGTTTAACGGGAGAGTAACGTTACTGTAGTTACTCGTGTGTTTAATGGGAAGAGTAAAAGTTACTGTAGTTACTCGTGTGTTTAACAGGAAGAGTAAAAGTTACTGTAGTTACTCGCGTGTTTAACAGGACGAGTAACGGTTACCGTGGTTACTCGCGTGTTTAACAAGACGAGTAACAGTTACTGTAGTTACTCGCGTGTTTAACAGGATGAGTAACGGTTACGGTAGTGTTGTACTCAGTGACGGTGTTTTGTCTTGAGTAACGTTGTTTCGTCTCTCTCTGCATCTCAGGACAGCTGACGATGATCGTAGGGCAGGTGGGATGTGGGAAATCCTCTCTCTTACTGGCGGCACTGGGAGAAATGCAGAAGATTTCTGGAAACGTCACATGGAACAGGTGAAAACAACATTAATACAACATAAAACAACAAGCCAAGCTATATTGTGAATGTAGTCATAGTATTACAGTCAATATTAGGAAATATAGTACTAAACGAAATATATTAAAACATTTACTGTAATTGCAATCAAGCTAAAATAAAAGTAAGTGTAAATAATATATATATTTTTTTTAAATAAACTAAATGAAAAATATTTCTACAGCTTTTATTAATCTCAGCTAATGTTAATTTCAACATTTACTAACACATGATTAAAATCCAAAGTTGTTTCTGTTAATATTAGTTAATGGACCTGAGCTGACATGAATTAACAATGAAGTAGTTTTAATTAAGTAATGTTAGCAAAGATTTATAAGTACTGTAACTAATGTATTGCTCATTGTTAGTTAAGTTTATTTGAGGCATTAACTATCCTTAACTAATGGAACCTTATTGTAAAGTGTTACCATAACATGTAAATAATCATATCATATAATAAAACTAATAACAAATAAATGAATAAAAAATGTAAAAATGAATAAAAAAAGTGTTTAACAAAATTACTAAAAATAAAAAATCAAATTCATAATTTTAGTAAAAACTAAAATACTTAAGTAACACTGTATTGATCAATCAGCCTCTGTGTATTTTGAAATCCGTTTGTTAATCCACTTTATAATCAACATTAATATCTTGTATCATTTTCTGTTTAATTTTTGCATGCTTATAATTACTGCTTCGTTTTCTCACAGTTTACCCAAGAGTGATTCAGAAGAAAATGTGAGGTATAATATATTATTGACTTTATTTATCAAGACACAATGTATGATTTCTGTATTTGTTTTTATTTAAATGATTCATCTTATTTCTCTTCTGTCTGACAGAGCTCATCATACGAGTGGAAGGCCATCACTGCCGTAATGATTATTATTATTATTAAACATTATTATTTCCACAGCGTTCTGTCCCGGTCCTGTGTGTGTTCAGGGTGTGTGTGTGTGTTTCAGGAAGAGAGGTTCGGTGGCCTACGCTTCCCAGAGGCCGTGGCTCTTAAACGCCACCGTTGAGGACAACATCCTGTTCGACATGGCTCCCAATGAGAAGAGGTATCCCACACACTAGAATGCAACAATATATCGCAAAAATACAACAATGTGCATCGTGATTAGTTCACCCAAAATAGAGAAAAAATGCACGTTTTCATATGTTTTGATAATGCTGTTTATAATGTATAATAATGCAATGGGGGGATATTTGTGGGTCCTGATAATGCCAGATGTCTGATGTTAACAGTGACATTTTATTTGAAATATATCTAGCTAGTGACGAAGTACAAGCATATTCGTCTAAAATAATTCAGTATTTTCAGCTTCATAATCATGAATATTGTCCACCAAGTCTAAGACTATTCATTCACACACACAACGTAATACTTAATTTAGCATTTTAATCAACAGTACATTTTTTGTTAACCTTTTATCAAATGTCTTGGAGTATCGCAGTAATATGGGGAGTTCAGTATTGTGATGTGTGTCGAATCGTGACATGAGGGTCTCGCTACACACCACACACAGATCTCTGTGATTCCTTAACGCATCCCATCAACTCTTGGATGTTCAGTCATGTGAGAGATGTGTATGTGTGTGTGTGTGTGTGTTAAAACTGCACAAACACAAAGGGTTCGGCTGCTGGTTTACTCTTAGCCAGTGGCGGGAGAGAAATGGTTTTTATCAGATTAACAACCGGGAATAACAGTGGGATTCCCGAAGGGCAGTGTGTTCAGTGTGTTCAGTGTGTTTAGTGTTTTCAGTATGTTCAGTGTGTTCAGTGTGTTCAGTGTTTGATGTTATGTAAAATTTCTGTTCCCCATTTACAGACGTGGAGTTCACCGCTGGTCCACTGTTAGATCAGTGCTATTACACTATCATCGATACATTAGATTTTGCTTTAATATTCTCTGTTTTAATTTTAATTGTAAAAGTTTGAATCATTTTAATATTTTTTTTTTGTCCATATGTTAGTTTTTTTTTTATTTTTTTTTTAGTTATTTTAGTACTTCAGCTTAAATTTAAACAACTGGCAACTAGATGAAATAAAATAAGTTTAAGGTTTCTTTATTTTATTTTATTTTATTATTTGATTATATATACAGTATATATAATGTTGAATTTACTTGGAATCAATTTTAACTTTCGTTAAAATTTCACACAAAAAATTCAGAAACGGCAAGTAACATATTGAATGAAACACAGTTTTGAAGTAGAAATACTAAAATAGTATTTTCTTGTAAAACATACTCCAATAATCTGTTTTAATTTCATCCTTTCTACCTACCAGATTTTTGGCTTTGATGTTTTTTTTTTGCAGTTTTAGAGTCCAACATATTTTGAAAATATATATTTTATATAATATATGAATAATTATTTTTTTTTACATTGCACATTTTCATAAACTCAAACCTCTATACATTTTTTTCTGTTTCACTTTCTGAATTTATTTCACTTCTACAACAATCTGCCAAATTTCTTACGTCTATATTCCAAAGCATTCTGGAATTACAACCATTAAAGTTCAGATTGTGTGTTTTCATGGTTATTCAAAAACACTTAAAAGACACTTAAAAGGTTAAAGCTAACTTTAAATGTTCCTAACAAAATACAGAAATGCTTAAAAGAATGTAAGTGCAATATGAAAACGTGTATTTTTTTAACAGGACATGTTATAAACAATAAACCTGGTATCAAATATGATGATTTGAGGTTTGATTGACAGTTGAAACCTTTGAACTGCTGTAGCCGCTGTAATGTAATGACTGAGATGTTATATCTGTCTGTCAGATATAAGGAGGTGATGGAGGTCTGTCAGCTTCAGCCAGACGTCGACACACTTCCACAGGGAGATCAGACGATGATCGGAGAGAGGGTACGTCTCACACACACTGATCCAAACACACATTCTGCTCATATTCTGCTCTATTTGTCTGAACTCGTGCTGGAACGGACCACTAAACTCACGGTTCGCAACGTTTAGGCTTTATGAGCCATGGATCGGATCATTGTTCAGATCAGCAAAAGAAAAAAAAAAAATATATATATATATATATATATATATTTAAATCAAGTGAACAGTCAGTAATAAATGAATACCAAATATACAAATTACATTACAAGCAGAGAAAAATGCTAAATAACAAAGTTACAAAGTCTAAGTTATAAGTCAAAGTTATAGTTTTAGTGTGTCTGAAACTCTCTCTCTCTCTCTCTGTCTCTCTCTCTCTGTCTCTCTAATTTGCCATGACATAACACGTCCAAATGATAAACGTTCACTCTATGATGGTTAAATGTATCAGTTAGTCTGCGAATCACGCGCGTGCCGAACCGTGAGTCCTGACCCGTACGGGTCACCTGCGACCCGTTCCAGCGCTGGTCTGAGCTGGTGTGTGTGTGTGTGTCCCGGTCCAGGGCATCATTCTCTCTGGAGGGCAGCGCCAGCGGATCAGCGTGGCTCGAGCGCTTTACCAGCACACCAATGTGGTTTTCCTGGTGAGTTGTGAGAAATGCTAGACTTATAAAAACACCTCATTCAGTGAAAATAAGCCCGTAACCATCCCTTCCAGGACGACCCGTTCTCCGCTCTGGACATTCACCTCAGTGACCATCTCATGAATGAAGGGATCCTCAAGTTCCTCCGGCAGGAGAAGAGGACCGTTGTGCTGGTCACCCACAAACTGCAGTATCTGCCTCATGCAGACTGGGTAGGGGCTGTGTTGAATTACATGGTTGACTAATTAGCATGTCATTATTTTTATTATGACGTTTGCAGTCATTCCATCAGTCGTCATACTTTTACATCATTTTGCATTGATGAAATCAAACATATTATCTATGGAATGCCAAAGCTGACATAAATAAATATTCGAAGAAATGTAAAAATAAATAAATAATAATTATATGTAAATACTTAAATAAATATACAAAGAAATGAAATGCACACATGAATAAATGAAAATAAATAGATACATAAATAAATGAAGAAAAAATACAATTATACTGTACATAAATAAGGAAATAAAAGTATAAATACTCATTTATGTATTTACATTTCATTGTATATTTATGTATTTTATTATTATTATTTTTGTTTTGCATTTCTTTGTATATGTATTTTATTAGGGCTGTCAGTTGAACGTGTTTTTTATCGCGCGATTAACAGTCTTTTTGGCCTAGCAAGCTTTGTAGTTTTTTTCATATGCTTTTGCAACAGGACGCGGCATGCGCGGCGCTGCGCTATGAAACCCATTCATTTCAATGGCTTGTGCCGCGCGAGAATGCATTTTGTAATCGCGAGCTAACAATGGCATTAATGCGATTAATCGTGAGCTAACTATGGCAATAATGCGATTAATCGCGAGTTAACTATGACATTAATGCGATTAATCGCGAGCTAACCATGACAGTAATGTAAATAATTGTGAGCTAACTATGATATTAATGCAATTAATCGCGAGTTAACCATGACATTAATGTGATTAATCGTGAGCTAACTATGACATTAATGCGATTAATCGTGAGCTAACTATGACATTAATGCGATTAATCGTGAGCTAACTATGACATTAATGCGATTAATCGCGAGCTAACTACGACATTAATGCGATAAATCGCGAGCTAACTATGACAGTAATGTGATTAATCGTGAGCTATGCTAATGACACTTAATGACGATGCGATTAATCACAAGCTAACTATGACATTAATGCGATTAATCGTGAGCTAACTATGCCAGTAATGTGATTAATCGTGAGTTAACTATGACATTTATGCGATTAATCGCGATTAAATATTTTAATTGTTTGACAGCACTAGTATTTATGTATTTATTATTGTGTCAGCTTTGGCATTCCATGATTGTCAGTGCATGTGTCAGCTTGAGTGTGTGTGTGTCGCCGCAGATTATCGCGATGCGGGACGGGACGGTGCAGACGCAGGGGACGCTGAAGCACATCCAGGCCGCCGAACCCGAGCTGTTCGAGCAGTGGAGGACCCTGATGAACCGCCAGAACAAAGTCAATCTCTTGCATATGACGATAACAAAATAACATCAATAATAATTATATTAATGCATGTACATTATATCGTTTATAATGTAAATATACTGTATTAACCATAGTCATTATTTAATTATTATTATTATTTAATTAAGTGCTTTGTTGCTGTATACTTATTATAAAGTGTTACTAAGGTAAATTAATGTTTTTATTTTTTTATGAATTAATGTATTCATAAACATAATTATTTGATATGATGTTTGATTTTCAAAAATAAATACAACAGTACTTAATAAATGCAGTTTAACATTTTGTAAATGCTTCTTCGATATGATGTTCATCTAAAATAAAGTAAAACAATATTTGCATTTTTAAATAATGTGTTTATAAAAATAATTAATTGATATAATATTCTTCTAAAAAAATAAATGTCAATACTTTTAATTTATTTATTAAATACAGTCCATTTTTTTGCAGTCAGTATTAATTTGTTGAAATGCTTTGTTTTTCAAAAAAAAAATATATATAAATGTAGTTATAAAAAATACTTCTTTGATATGATGTTCATATAAAATAAATAAATGCTGATTTCTTTTATTAATGTATTTATACAACTTTTGATATGACATTCTTCTAAAATAATATATATTATTTAAAAAATCTTTGACGATGTTCTTTCCGATTAAAATAAATATATGTATTTTTAGTTTTTAATTAACTCATTCATATAAAATATGTTCATCAAATAAATACAATTATTGTTTTAAGTAATTGTATTTATTTAAGCCAAATATTTATTTATTTATTGAAATGCCTCTTTGATGTGATGATTGGTGTTGTTCTGTTGTGAGCGCAGGAGAACAGCACCGAACTGAAGAGGAAGAGTTTCAGACGGGCCATGTACTCCCGGGACACCCTGGCCACGGAGGACGAGGACGAAGGTACACACACACACACACACATCTGGGAACATGGAGAGAAACATGCATGCAACTCAAGATACACTTCTGTTATTATCAAAAACCAGGGAAGATAGCGAAAAAACTTGTACATAAACTGTATTATTAATGTGTTTTTAGGTGCAATAATCTATATACTCTAAAACAGTGGTAAAACTTGGTTCATTAGTTAATGTATTAACTAGCATGTACTAACAATAACTGTATTTGTTAATGGTTGTTAGTTAAATGCAGATGTTCATTGTTTGTTCATGTTAGTTCACAGTGCATTAACTAATGTCAACAAGATTTTAATAAAGCATTAGTACATTTTTATTAACATAATTCATGCTATATTCACTATTTGTTAATGCTAACTAATAATATTAACGAATTAACCTTATTGTAAAGTGTTACCAAAACACCTGCTCATCCTTTGACAGATCGTTATCATTATCCGGTTACATAGCTACAGTTTTCTGGTATTTCCGCTCATCTGTCGCTGTGTGATCAGTGTGTGTGTGTGTGTGTTCAGTTCTGCAGTGTGACTCTGCTGTTCTTCATGTGTGTGTTGCACTCATGCTCAGCTGCTGATGTCTCAGTCAGTGAACTGAAAGGTCTGACAGACTCGATAGCATGACTCTTTGAGCATGAAGCCCGCGGGTGTGAAGCCACTGTAATGCATCGAGCTCCTTTCAATCGTAGAGTTATGTAATGCATCGACAACAGTACTGAGCTTTAGTCATTACATTAGGTATTCAGTGTGTAGGTGGAGAGGAGAGTAAAGTGCTTTATATCCATGAGCGATGCTTCTGTAGTGACACTCACCCCATCCTGCACGATCTCCCGTCGCTCCTGCTAGTGTTCTGCATGTTTGTTCAATCATCCTTCGGAGAAAATCACTCTGTTTGTCCCAATCAATAACTGCTTCCAGATCAGCATGTGACGGTTCATCTCTGATCATTGGACTCTTAAAGGTGCAGGGACTGATTTCTGTGCCACTATCAACCAACTTAATTTTACTAAATACATTTTATTTATAAATAGTGTTTATATTTCATTTGATGTTTTTTTTTTAAAACGATTAATCCCATCCAAAATTAAAGTTTGTGTTTACATAATATATGCGTGCATTCTGTGTATAATTATTTTGTATAAACAATATAAATACAAATATTTATATGTTAAGTAAATAAAATAAATAAATATTTATATATAAAATATTTCTATATTAAGTATATACATGCAAATATTGCTTAAAATATATACATGCATATGTGTGTATTTATATACAAAATAATTATACACAGTGCATTAATTGTTGCCTGCACTATATATATGTATATATATATATATATATATATATATATATATTAGGGCTGTCAAACGATTAATCGTGATTAATCGGATCTAAAATAAAGTTTGTGTTTACATAATATATGTGGGTGCACTGTGTTTAATTATTTTGTATATATATATATATATATATATATATATATAAACACATGCATGCATGTATATTTAAGAAAAAAATATGATTTATATCTAAAATATTTATATTTATAACATAGATTATATATAAATCTATATACAGTATATACATGAAAATATTTCTTAAATATATACAAGCATGTGTATGTATTTATATATATAAAATAATTATATTATATATAGCAGTGCCGCCACATATATTATGTAAACACAAACTTTTATTTTGGATGTGAATAATCCCGATTAATCATTTGACAGCCCTAATATATATATACATATGTATATATATATATATATATATATATATAATTTGGACAGAATGCAATTCTGAAATTATACTTTCACATTCATATTTTCCGTTCCGGCTGATCTGAGCGTGATCTGTGGCTGAACTCTGCTTAACCTCAGTCAGAGTGAGATTGAATGGCGTTCAATGGTGTGTGTGTGTGTGTGTGCAGACAGCTCAACCAGCACCGATGAGGAGAGCCTCAGGGCGGAGCTGCGTCACAGGACCCACATCCCCTGGAGCTCGTTGTTCTCGTACCTGAGATCTGCAGGCCCTGTCCTCCTCGCGCTGCTCGTGTTCTCTCAGCTCTGCAAACACACACTCATGGTGGCCATCGACTTCTGGCTCGCTCACTGGACCACACACGTCATCGCAGCGCAGATCGAGACCAGTGGAGGGAACTGCAGTGACACTGGGGTGAGAGAACTGACACACACACTAACCCGACTTCTAAACCTATCCATTCTTCAAAACTTTCTGTATTTTTCGATTTTCTAAAAACCTTTAATAACATTATTTTATAACAGATTTACACACGAGGACGTCCCTAAAGGAGGGAGTTTTTTGCCAGGCTTTGGGTACAAATTTGTCACACACACACACACACTGCACTAACATCAGGCTCTGTAGTCTCGAGGGTCTGACCGCAGCTGTGTGTGTGTGTCTCGCTCGAGTCCCAGTAGACTGTGTGTCCACTACTTTTCTATGCTAAAAGTGTTTCACATTTTCCTAGAATGTTAATAATAGTGTTCATAATTCTCTCGTCTGTAAGATTATTGTTTTTGTAATAAATCAAGGGTGAGGTCACACTCCTGAACACTCAGGTTTGGTTGGATTGTTTACTATAAGTAACTACAAATGTGAACACACACAAACACACGTTTTTATTCAGAAAGTACACATTAAAGCTACACTATGTAATAAAATATCCAATAATCACTTGCAGTGTGTGACACATTTCCTGCAGTTGGACTTTAACACACTCAAATGCAGTTTAGTGTGAGTGTAGAGCAAGTGGAACAGCACCGAGTTACTTCACAAGTTATATCCGCTGGACTCGTGTGTGTGTGTGTGTGTGTGCCGATATCTGTCTCTCATTAGCAGTCGAGCCCTGCTTCACACCATAGTCATGATAAACATCACTGTATTCACTCATACATAAACATTATTAGATCCGTCCAGGGATCCATCGCTTGACGACAAGCTCATCAACCTTCGCCTGTGTTACTGTAAGACGTTAGCGACCCCTAGTGGCGAAACTAAATAAATACATATTGTAGCTTTAAATCAAAACTGCAAAGACATAATGTTGCAAAAATTTAAAAAAATATGACGCTGTTTTCAGCATTATTAATAATAAATGTTTCTTGAGCATCAGATCATCATATTAGAGTGATTTCTGAAGGATCTTGTGACACTGAAGACTGGAGTAATGATGCTGAACATTCAGATTTGATTACAGGAATAAATTACACTTCCCTTTATATTCATATAGAAAAAGAGGATTAGGGCCAAACAATAATAAAAAAAATAAAGCCATGTCAAGATTTAAGTCATTAAAATGCGAGATTAAAGTCTCAACATTTTATTTCTACTTTTTTTCTCGAGTTTTTTCTTGAAACATTATGTGAACACATGAAACGTTTTATTTCGAATTTTTCATTAAGTTTTTTTTCTGAAAACACGACTTTATCCTCAAAATGTAATGATTTAATTCTCAACATTTTATTTCGACTCTTTTTCTCAAAAGTTTAATCTGGGTTTATAATGACTTTAATCTCGAGATTGGCCCTAATCCTCTTCTGTAATAAACGGCTATATTCCAAATGATATTTCACATTTTTTTAGTGTATTCTTGATCAAATAAATGCAATCTTGGAGAGCAGAAGATTCCCTAAAGGTCCAATGCTTCTTCAGTCTGCTTTAAGGAGGAGTTGTGTGTTTCTAGTGTGTTGATCATGTTCCTGTTCTTCTCCATCCAGGAGTGTGTGT